ATCCGCCATCATTTGGCTGCGAGCCTCAAACAGCAATATCTCACTCTTGAGAACCGACTCGAACTTTGGGTGGCCCTGAAAAAATGGCATGATCACCAGAAAACGGTGCTCTTGCCAGAAGCCAAGTTTGACTGGAAGGAACTCCGGTTCCAAGATTACAAATCTGTGGATGACTACAACTCCGAACTCTTTCGGATAGTTTCAATCATGAAACTATGTGGTGAAGAGGTGTCTGATAATGATCTCCTCGAGAAAACATTATCCACCTTCCATACCCAAAACATTGTTATCTTGTTTGCTCTTGGCCGAGAAAAAACAACGAGCTATTTATGAGGAACAGTGCCCAGAGGCCCCCGGGATCGGCTCCAGTACCAGATTCCCGCAAAGAATCCTACAATGTCCAGTGAGACAGATCCTCAGATCGTGGACGTGGAAAGCGTGGACGCGGAAATGGACGTGGCAACCGACATAACCTCGGTTATGGTTCCGGTAAGGGCCGTGGTATCTCTAAACCAAACTGCCCTGCCCACTGAACCAATCAGTCTGCCTGCACTAGATGCGGAATGTTCAATCACTGGACAAAGAACTGTCGTACTCCCAAGTTTCATTGCGATTTGTATCAGAAACATGGGAAAGCACCTGCTGAAGCTAACATGGCCTAGCAAGTTGATGCTGACGACACCACTACGAGATCTCAGATCTCCTCGATTGATTCCAGATCTCAGGCCCATGTGTTGTTATCAAACGGCACACATCTGGACATTCCAGATGCATTATACTCACCCAGCTCAAAAAGAAACCTTTTAAGTTTTAAAGATATCAGACTTAATGGTTTCCACATAGAAACCCAGGGTGAAGGGAACAAGAATCCCTACTGATCACTAAGATCATACTTGGCCATAAACAAGTCCTCAAGACTATACCCGCATTATCTACTGGTCTTTACTATGCTAAGGTCAGTATGATTGAGGCTAATAATGCTCTCAAAGCCCGATTCCAAGACTACACTATTTGGCACGACCGGCTTGGTCATCCCGGTATGACCATGATGCGTAAATTAATCCAAAATTCTCAAGGACACACCCTTCGAGAAAACCGAGTCTTCCCTCAGCACCTCACGTGCACAGCTTGCTCCCAAGGGAAGTTGATCACTCGGCCTTCACCAGTAAAAGTGTCCAAAGAGACATTGCATTTTCTGGAAAGAATCCAAGGAGATATCTGTGGTCCCATTCACCCACTTTCTAGGACATTCCGGTACTTCATGGTACTAATAGATGCTTCGACCCGTTGGTCGTATGTATGCCTGTTGTCTTCTCGGAACCAAGCTTTTGCTAGGTTGTTGGCTCAAATCATCAGATTACGAGCCCACTTTCCAGACTTCCCACTAAAGACTATACGTCTTGATAATGCTGGTGAATTCACTTCCCAAGCGTTTAATGATTACTGTATGGCCATGGGGGTGACCGTTGAACATCTTGTGGCACATGTCCATACTCAGAATGGACTTGCTGAATCATTCATTAAACGAATCCAATGGATTGCTCGACCATTACTCATGAGGTCGAAGCTCCTGGTCTCAGCTTGGGGACATGCAGTATTACATGCTGCTGAATTAATACGCATCCGACCATCTAGTGAGCATAGATATTTCCCATCCCAATTATTAACGGGTCATGAGCCAGACATCTCCCATCTTAAAACATTTGGGTGCTCAGTCTATGTACCCATTGCTCCACCACATAGAACCAAAATGGGACCTCAAAGGAGGATGGGAATATATGTTGGTTTTGATTCTCCCACCATCATCAAATATCTCGAGCCGACCACTGGAGACCTATTCAAGGCCAGATATGCGGATTGCCAATTTGATGAATCGGTATATCCAACATTGGGTGGAGAGAAACACAAGCTGGTCAAAGAGCTATCATGGAATCAAACATCCTTAAATTGGCAAGATCCTCGGACTCTAGAATGTGATTCAGAGATCCAAAAGATTATACACTATCAAAAGCTAGCTAATCAATTGCCAGATTCCTTTGCTGACCCGAACAAAGTAACCAAATCGTACATACCAGCTTGTAATGCACCAGTACGAATCACTGTTCCAACGGGACAAGTTCAAGTTGCTACAGAGTCTGCATCACGAAATAAACGTGGCAGACCTCTAGGTTCCAAAGACAAGAATCCACAGAAATCAAAGAAAGGTGCAATAGTTGAAACCGGGATTCCCAATATAACAGACATAGCACGCGCTGAGACTCACTCTAATGAACCACCAGAAGAGGTTCGGAACGCCGAATCTCTAGGTTCTGACGAGATCGATAACGATGAGATCTCTATCAATTACAACATGTCTGGAACCCAATGGAACAGAAAAGAAGTCGACTTAAATGCACTCTTTGCATACAAAGTAGCACTTGATATTGCGAACACGCAAGAGGATCTAGAACCCACGTCTATCACAGAGTGCACTCATAGAACAGACTGGCTAAAATGGAAAGAAGCCATAAACGTGGAGTTAAAGAGTCTCAAACTCAGGAATGTGTTTGGTCCGATCATCCGGACACCATTCAATGTCAAACCAATGGGCCATAAATGGGTCTTTGTGCGTAAAAGAAACGAACTCGGTGAAGTCGTTCGTTATAAAGCACGGCTTGTAGCACAAGGATTCTCACAGAGACCCGGAATCGATTATGAGGAGACTTATTCTCCGGTGGTGGATGCAACTACTTTTCGATTCCTCATAAGTCTGGCCATAAGAGAAAATCTAGATTTGCGGTTAATGGATGTTGTCACCGCATATCTCTATGGGCCCCTCGACAATGAAATATACATGAGATTACCATATGGCATAGAGCTTAAAGATAAGCATGCATCTCGAGATCAATACTGCATCAGGCTGAACAAATCCTTGTATGGACTGAAACAAAGTGGACGTATGTGGTATAACCGGTTAAGCGAATATCTCATCAGAGAAGGCTACAAAAACGATCCCATCAGTCCATGCATTTTCATCAAGAAATACTCAAACAAAGGATTTGTAATCATAGCAGTTTACGTGGATGATCTAAACATCCTCGGAACATCTGGTGAAATCTCCCAAACAGTCGACTGCTTGAAAGCAGAATTCGAAATGAAAGACCTAGGTAAAACTAAATTCTGTTTGGGTTTACAACTTGAGTATGTTAAAGGAGGAATCCTTGTGCATCAAGCGGCTTACATTGAAAAAGTACTCAAGCGATTCAATATGGACCAGGCCCACCCATTGAACAGCCCAATGGTTGTCCGGAGCCTAGGATTGGACAGTGATCCATTTGGTCCCAAGAAGGACGATGAAGAAATTCTCGGTCCAGAAAAGCCATACCTCAGTGCTGTAGGAGCGTTAATGTACTTGGCTAGTCACACTAGACCAGACATTTGTTTTGCCGTGAACCTCCTAGCTCGCTTCAGCTCATGTCCAACTCAGAGGCACTGGAATGGTATCAAACACCTCCTAAGATACCTTCAAGGTACTAAAGACTTAGGACTGTTTTACACTAACCACAACAAGGATGGACTAGTTGGTTTTTGCTGATGCAGGATATCAATCAGATCCGCACAATGCCAAGTCTCAAACTGGTTATGTGTTCACGCATGGAGGAACAGCTATCTCTTGGAGATCGATAAAGCAGACAATCACTACCACTTCATCAAACCATGCAGAACTTTTGGCCATTCACGAAGCCAGCAGAGAATGTGTTTGGCTACGATCCATGACTCAGCACATCCGATCAGATTGTGGTATGAAAGAAGATAAGGAGCCCACGGTTATGTTTGAAGACAACGCGGCTTGCATTGCTCAACTCAAGGAAGGTTATATCAAAGGAGATCGGACGAAGCACATCCTACCGAAATTCTTCTCAACCTCGGATTGGCAGAAGGATGGTACGATCAGCGTTCAACAGGTCCGATCATGCGATAACTCCGCCGACCTTTTCACCAAATCATTGCCCGCTTCAACACTCCGGAAGCTCATCCAACAAATAGGAATGCGTAGACTTAGAGATCTACGGTGATGCTCTAATCAGGGGGAGTAATGCGTGTTGTACTCTTTTTCCTTCACCATGGTTTTTCCCACTGGGTTTTCCTGGTAAGGTTTTAATGAGGCAACATTCCCCAGCGTATTATCGAGATCCCGATTGACCATCAGGTCCGGTTACTCCGTCCAAGGGGGAATGTTATAATACATCATATTGGACTTATAACCGGACCCAATAAGCCTATCAAAGTTATTCATTATGTACTCTAAAACCCTAGGTTTATATGCCTATATATATATATCGTTATTCATGGAATGGAATAAGATAACAATAAGTTTCACAACAAACTAAACATTCTTACCTAAAAGAAAAAATACTAAACATTGTGAAAGGACACGTAGTTTACAAACTTTACACGTTATTCGGAAAAGAGATTCCATTCGGGGGAATAACTCAAAACTACATCTCATCATATATTTAATCAAATTTTTAGAAATATATATCATAAATCTTTATAATTACATTCCATTAAATATAATTTTTTTTTTGTTATAATTTTTGTCGAAGAGACTTATTTTTCCAAAACATAAGAAACCGAAACTCAAAAACCGAACCAAGTCGGGAGAACATTGCTTACATTGTAACATTGTTAAAATAACTTATGTGTATATTATTTCTCCGAATTTGCATCACTTTTCCAAAGCCATAATGTTTTTTCTCTCCACGGTGTACCATAATGTAATAAATCTGGCAAAAAATAGAGCATACATATATATGATGTGCCTAATTCTACGAATCAGAGTATTAGAATATTTCCCGAAATTACGTGACAATCAACATAAATAAATATGCATATATACATATAGGATATGTAAAATTGTTGTTAGATATTGACATAAATATTGAATTATGTTTGTGTACCACGGAGGCAAGAAATTTTGGAAAACCAAATGCAAATATTACAAAACCATGGACATTTTGTAAGATTCAGAAACAGAAACAATGGTTACAGTTTCATCCATCTCCTTGGTTGCAAGTTTATGGTTTGACAACTTGTCTCCGCTCTTGTTCAGGAACGTTTTTTTATTTGGTCAATAGAATTCAGCTTATGAAAACAAAAACTAAATGTTCTAACTTAAGAGTAGCTTACACTATTTAGACTTTTCTCCATGTTTATTACATTTAAGATATATGCTGACAACTATAAATCTGCCTCATTTAGCTCATAGCATAAACAACTATGGGGCTTCTTACATTATGAGTGCCATCAAACCAAATAAGATTTGCAGACAGAGGTTGTTTTGTTCCGATACTATCGCCTGAAACAGTCACCACGAAAGACTGCTTCTCGTTTATCGACTTCATAGACAAAACACGCGGCAAAACTTTGATGCGGAGTTTAGAATCAGGACTTGTGACTACCTTTGCTTTGTATGTAGAGTTTTTCATACCAACGTTAGTGACAGTTCTCTGGAAAGTTATGTTGAACTGTTCTGTTCCGGACACTTTAGCCGACATTGTTGGGTAGTTGAGGTTTCTTGGTAATGTCTTGGAAAGTTTCTTCGTGCAAGTGCTGTTGTCTCCAGATATGATTCTTAAGTGATCACTCTTGTAGTTTAAACCACAGAGAAAGGTGATGTGATCTGCTTTGGTCAATTCATAAACGAGTCCAGGATTAATAGCAGCAATCGGATCCACATGGCCAGATCCATATGCAAACTCAGTTGATACAAAGCCAGGACCAGAAGCATTCATTGGCCAAGCTACAAAATTAGGAGATCATCAATGGATCTCTTGCGGGACAAGTAAGTTTGTTTTTCTTGGTAAAAAGTTTGATCTAAGTTTTTCTTACCAGTTGTCATAATGGCAGATTGGATCATAGAAGGAGACCATTTAGGATGAAAAGTCTTGACATAGGCGGCCACGCCTGCAACGTGTGGACAAGCCATTGAAGTTCCAGACATAACAGAGAACTTTACATGTCTAGTGTCAAACTCGCTTTCAGTCGGTGTACTGTCAGGTGAATAGGCAGCGAGGATCTCCACTCCTGGTGCTGTTATATCCGGCTGCAATATCAATCCACAATTGTTTCGCAGAGCTAGAAAGAGAAGAGAATAATAACGAGCACTAAGATCATTTACCTTCAGAATATCTGAAACGATGGAGCTTGGACCGCGAGATGAGAAAGAAGCAACAAGAGGAGCTGTCTGATTAGAGATTTCCTCACTTTTCAGAACAGTCGCTTTTGGATCTCTGCATACACACACAGAGAAAAACCAATAAAGCTGGAATTTGAAGAATGCAGCTATATAAACATAGAGCAAAATCATTACTTTGTGGAATTCATGTAAGAGACGAGAGACTTGTAGTCATCATTGGATAAGAAAGAGACCGGGAAAGAGCGGATAAAAGCGTGGTCTGGTTCAGGGTTCTTAACTATCGATCCAACAGCTCCCAATTTTTGAGCTTCTATTGGACCTTTCGAAGAATCACACAGCACAATCTTCCCTTTCACAAGTTTTCCATCAAGACACTTTGGCTCGCATAACCTGCAAAGAAAAACAAAAATTCGAAAATGTAAAACAGTTTCCCGCTAAAAAGGTAGTACTGTTTCTTGGACAGGAAGTAACCTAGCCTTATCCACGCTACATGTACTCAAAGCAGCAGATTTTCCATAAACCAGAGGATACTTGGTTACATTCAGATCGTACGTATTCACTGATCTTCCCTGTTTCCATTAAAACAAAAGAGCCAAATTGGTTTAAACGAAAAAGATGCTAAAGCTATGATGACATATATAAGAATTTTTCTTGATACGCACGATAAGGATCTTGCCGTGATCTCCAAGAACAACTTTAGCCATAAACGCACGATTCGTAATGCTAGCCGCAACGCTAAACACCCACGGTGGGGTACTAGAAACAGTGCTGATTTTTGGTCCCTTGTTACCGGCTGCGTTAACAGTTAGAACTCCTACAGCCATAGCGTGAAACCCTCCAATCGCAATCGGATCTTCCTCGAACGGTGGAATGTCATCAAGAATGATAGAGATAGTTATGATATCCACACCGTCAGCGATTGCGTCGTCAAACGCAGAAATTATTGCGTCTCCGTCGCATCCTTCATTGTCGCAGACTTTGTAAACGGCGATTCGAGCGGCTGGAACGCCACCTCTCGCGGTTCCATTTCCAAGTCCATAGAAGTTTGAGTTTGCGACTGCGTTTCCGGCAGCCGTTGACGCCGTGTGTGTGCCGTGTCCACTGTAGTCTCTCGCTGATTCATTTGCTTTAGATTTGGCTTTGTAGTCTCTTGCCCCAATGAGCTTGCTGCAAAATTAGAGAAATTTTGGTTAACCAAGACTAAAAGTACACAAACCGTTGGACAAAATTCCCAAGTTAGGGTAAAAAGTGTATTTACTTGTTGCAGGTGAAGTTTTTCCCGCCAGCACAAGTTCCCTTCCATTTCTTAGGAGGAGGACCAAAGCCTTGGTCGGAAAAGCTGTCGGATTCGGGATAGATTCCAGTGTCGATGACCCCAATAATGGTATCGCTCTCAATGCTAGGGTTTCGCTTCGTCTTGATGCCTTCTTTGAGACCCATAAAGTTCCAAGACGACGTCGTTTGGAGTTTCATATTTCTACTCGGGAACACAGACACAACTCTCTCCATTCCTAAGAAAAAACATTACATAAACATACAGAGATGGAAAAAAGTAAATACGATTTTGCAAGTTTCTTAACACCAATTTTTTTGTTCTTTTTACCTCTTTTAATTTTTCTTTACACTATAATTCTGTATTCTTTAAAGATTATAATCAGCTAGAAAACTCGATATAATGTTATAAGAAACTACCTGCTATTCTTTTTCGTTCGGATTCGGTGAGTCGTGCTGCAAACCCATTGAAACTTCTTTTGTAGCTTCTCACCAAGCGATTTTCGATCAAACTAGGATATTAATATCACTTTTTAGAATTATGATTTTAAACCATATATAATTATATAATAAGTGAATTTTTTTTCTTTTTTAACAAGACCTCTCTCCGGTGACTTCTTGAAGAATACTAATGTGATCGGACATTGCTGTGTAATCTTCTCGAGAAGGAAGTGCTCCCAAGTACACGATATATACCTTCATGGATTATCATCACCATCATTATTATCATGTATGATAGATATATATGGATGGGCTCATAGTGAGAAACAAGAGGATTATGATAATATTGTTTCGATAAACAATATTTATTGTAAAACCTGTTGATCTTCATGATCATCCTTGTCGGCGGAGACTGAACTCAGAAACAAGACGAGGAGACTTGAGAAGAGGAAGAAGAATGTTGTTATTTTCGCCATTTCGAATGAAGTCGCTCTGTTTTTTTTTCTTTATAAAATTTGGGGGACATGAATATATATATAGAAGTGAGATTATGTCCGGGATTTAATATAGTCAATCAATCCCCTGTAATTGTGTAATGTAGCAAAATCTAGTATTACTATATCTCAATATAAATTAAAATCTATTATTAATATATTATGCTAATAGTGGAATCCCTTATATAGTAGCTGACCCATGGTTAATTAATGTTTATATTATTAGATATGAGATTCGATTTTTGGTTGAGTGAATAAGATTTATTACTGATTAGTGGAGGTAACTTTATTAGAGAATTCCAATGTGCATATAGAATTATTTGTGTAAATTCGTTTGTTAATGATAAAATTATTTATCGAGAGCATTTGTGTACTGTCTATCGTAAAATTTTGGATTATTTTATGGAGTCGTATGTGGTCCGTTAGATCTTTGTAGCAGGTCCGATTGGTGACGACAAAAAAAACAATATAACTAGAAAATAAAATTAATGAGAAAGAAGAAAAATAGGAAAATGACCAAAACCTATAACCAAGAGGAACATAAGAATTGAACAAATGGTTATGCCAAATGGTAGCCAAAATGTTGAATAAATATTTAGCATAAAGATTATTAAAAAATAATTTATTTAATTTAAAATTATTATTTTATATAAAGTTAATATAAAAGTATATAATAAAGTCAAATATTTTATTAAAATAATATAAATTCACTCTAAAGCATTTATTTATTTATTTAAGTATACCCTAAATACTAATAGTTGACAAAAAAGTATAAATACTAATTTAAATAAAGTCATAACATTAAGTTTTGATAAGAGCACATATATATATAATGAAAATAAGAAAAATATTCCTTCAAAAGTGGTTACTGGTTACCAGTTGGAACCAATATATTTTCCAGTTTTCTTCTGGACAACAAAGAGTCAAAGGAAAAAAAAGAAAATTGAATTTAAATTTAATCAAATTACAAGAAAATCATTCGAGTTAAGCCAATCTAACTTTTTGATTACGTACGCGCGGTTTGTTTATTCAACTTTGTAGATATATATATGTTCCTCTAGGTTCTTTGTTTTGGTCTCTTTTTTTTCTTTCTTTTTTTTTCCTTTTCATTCCTTTTATTTTCTAATCATATTGTTCTTTTTCTCGTTCTATATTCAAATGTTTAAACTGTATGTATGAAAATTAATAATGTTATCATTTAAGAAGATACAATTATTTGACTACATGATTTCATATTAGGCTCATACTTATATAGGACAACACCAACATCCCTCGGATCCCTCTGAAGCTCTGCAATGGCCTCTAGTAAACAACTTTCTTCTACAAAACACAGTGCAGCCTCTGTTCCCTCCGTATTCACACGGATTGAATTTGAAACGTTTGCAAAGTTCCCCGATGTCAAAACCTATTTATTAATAATCAATATGTACATTAAGAAAAATGATAAAAATATGTTTTTAACTGAAGAGTGGAGAGTATAATAATAAGCCAATACCGGGACTGCTAGCGGATGTAGCATGGCAATGAACATAAGATAGGATAAAGAGAAGAGTGAAAATATACACGACTAATTTTGTTTTTATGATAGCCATTTTATGATATTATTTGAATTTTTTTTTTCTTTACACTATATATGTAAACAAATATACATAAAGTGTGATTTTGTAGTCAAAGATATATGAAAAGGAAAAAAATCTTCCAATTTCTTTTCTTAGATTTATAGTCAAAAAAACTAAATAAAGAAAGAGAAATTGTTAAAAATGCCCCTTTTTCAATACCCCTTTTCAAAAATGCCCCTTTTGAGAGTCTATTTTTAAGTTTGCCCTCTTTTAATTTTAATGACCATTTTACCCTTATTTGAAACAAAATTAGTTCCACAAAATACAAAATATTTTTTGGCGGAAAAAGTGATCCCGCAATGTTCCCGCCAAAACACTTGTAAAAACCTTTAAAATACTTTGTAAAATTTTCCCGTAAAAATTTTTCCCGCCAAAAATTTTTTTTTGCGGGAAAAGTGATTCCGCAATTTTTTTGCCGAAATTTTTTTGGCGGGAAAATTTTTGGCGGGAAAAATTTACAAGGTATTTTAAAGGTTTTACGGAGTATTTACAAGTGTTTTGTAAAGTTTTACAATGTATTTTAAAAGGTTTTACAAGGTACTTATAAGGTTTTATAAGGTATTTATAACTTGTAAAACCTTATAAAAAACTTGTAAAACCTTATAACTTGTAAAACCTTATAAAATAGCTTGCAAAATCTTATAATATCTTATAAATACTTTATAAATACGTTGTAAAACCTTTTAAAATACATTGTAAAACCTTATAAATACCCTGTAAAAACCCTTTAAAATACCTTGTAAATTTTTCCCGCCAAAAATTTAACGCCAAAAAATTTACGGAATCACTTTTCCCGCAAAAAAAAATTTTTGGCGGGAAAAAATTTTATGGGAAAATTTTACAAGGTATTTTAAAGGTTTTACAAATTTTTACAAGTGTTTTGGCAGGAAAAATTGGGGGATCACTTTTCCCGCCAAAAAATATTTTGTATTTTGTGGACCTAATTTTGTTATATTTCCTTATATATTTATGATATCTTTTATTAAAAGAAGGGTAATTTAGTCATTTTGTACATAAAAGGGGTATTTTTAAAAATGGACATCCAAATGGGGCATTTTTGAAAAAGGGTATTGAAAAAGGGGCATTTTTGTGAGTCTCCTCCCATAAAGAAAATGATTTAACAACCTCAATTTGAAATAGGTTATACAGATTCTAATGGTTTGTAACGTGTAACTGAAATTCTTTTACCAAAAAAAAATGTTTATTGAGAAAGTTAGTTCATACGCCATATGTTTCAAACAAAAATTAAACTAGATTTTTAATTTATATTTTTTATTCCCCAATATTGTCTCAGCTGAGTCGATCTGACAAAAAAAAAATTTCTATTTTTTTATCTACAGTGAACAAAAGAAATTAGTTCACAGCCCCAAGTGTATATACAACATACCTTTACAAAAAAAAATTAGTTCACGTTATGACTAGTGGTATATACCGTATATACAACACATACCTCGGGAAATATTTGTCAGTGAGTGTTTGGTGAACTTACTGAAGTTTACTAAAACAAGAAACAAGGCAAAGGGACAACAATAATGATATATATTGAATATTACAATGTTTGATGATGACGGTAGAAAGATGTGAACTGAAACACTTAAGTGCCCTTATCAGTTATCAATATGCATCATCAGTATAAACAACAATAGGGCTTCTCACATTATGTGTGCCATCAGACCATATTAAATTTGCAGATGAAGGCAGTTTTGGGAAGCTATCGCTACCTGTGACAGTCACCGTGAAAGACTTCTTTTCACTCACTGTCTTAAAAGACAGAACGCTAGGCGTGACCTTGACACTGAGCTTTGATCCGTGATTTAAGACCACCTTTGATTTGTATGTTGAGTTGGGCGTTCCAACATTAGTGACAGTTCTGTTGAATGTCACAGTGACGGAGCTTTTAGATCTTGGCAATTGAGCTGATATTGAAGGATAGTTGAGGTTTCTTGGTAAGATTTTGTTTTCTTTAGTGCAAGTAATTGTTTCACCAGATATGAGTTTTAGGGTATCCGCGGTGTAGTTCAAGCCGCAGAGAAAATCAATGTGATCTGCTTTGTCCATTTCATAGACGAGTCCAGGATTTGTCGCAGCTATTGGATCAACATGGCCAGCTCCATAGGCAAACTCGGTTGATGCAAAGTCAGTTCCAGTAGCATTCATTGGCCAGGCTGTGAATTACGAATAAAAAAGCAAAGATCAATAGAAGTCAATGGTTTCTTGCAGGACAAAAAAAGCATCTGTTAGATTTCGCAAGGGTAAAGAATATTGTTTTGGGTGTCTTGCGGGACAAGAAAGTAAGTTTAATTTACTCAGTATAAACTGGATAGATTTTTGCTTACCGGTTGTCATGATAGCAGAATGGATCATTGAAGGAGACCATTTAGGATTAAACGTCTTGACGTACGCAGCTACACCAGCAACGTGCGGACAAGACATTGAAGTTCCCGACATAACAGAGAACTTTACATGTCTAGTGTCAAACTCGCTTTCAGTCGGTGTGCTGTCAGGTGAATACGCAGCGAGGATCTCCACTCCTGGTGCTGTTATATCTGGCTGAAAGACATTTACCATTGTCTATATCAGATCGGGCACAAAGAGAACCAAGATCATAAAAGTACTTCTTAAATAAATCAACCTTGAGAAGATCCACAGAGATGGTGTTTGGACCACGAGAAGAGAAAGAAGCAACTTTAGGAGATGTCTGATTAAAGATTGCTTCACTTCTTAGAACAGTCGCTTGCGGGAACCTGAGAAAGCAAACATAGAGATAGCGGGAATAATAATTATAAAAAAAAAGAATTTAGAGCATATATACAGAGTATGAAACAGAGAGATGATTATTTGTTACTTTGTGGAGTTAATGTAAGAGACAAGAGACTCAAACTCATCTTGTGAGAGAGCAGAGAGGGGCAAAGGGCTGACGGAGGCATAGTCTTTTTTAGGATTCACAAGAATGGCTGCAACAGCTCCATTTGATAAAACTTCGTTTATATCAAAGTCTTCCGATTGACGACACAATACGATTTTCCCCTTCACAAGGGATGGATCTAGACACCCCGTCTTACATTCCCTGAAATTCAAATCCCATCACCAACTAAACTTGAAAGTATTATTTCTAGGTCATTCAAACTAAATATGGTGTTTCTTGGGAAGGAAGGAACTTACTTGGCGGATTCCTCCTCACAAGCAGAGATACCAGCAGATTTTCCATACACCAGAGGGTATTTCTTTCCTTTCAGATCAAAAGTATTCACTGATTTCCCCTGTAAAGAACTATCAGTGGAAACTAAAGAGGCAGAGATCACTAACATCGTTGAAATAAAAACATTTCTTGATACTTACGACAAGTGTCTTGCCGTCTCCGAGAACAACTTTGGTGACAAACCCACGGTTTGTGGTACTGGCTGCAACTGTTAAGATCCACGGCGCTACGCACGAGACCACACCAGCTTTTGGACCGTTGTTACCGGCTGAATTCACAGTGAGAATCCCCTTGGCCATAGCGTGGAAAGCCCCGATTGCGATGGGGTCTCTTTCGTACTCCGACGCCTTATCTCCCCCGATAGAGATGGTGATGAGATCCACACCATCGGCGATTGCGTCATCAAACGCAGCCAGTACAGCTGCCGAAGTACATAAATAGTTGCAGACTTTATAAGCGGCTATTCTTGAGGCCGGAACACCACCTCTCACTGTTCCATTACCGAGTCCAAAGAAGCTTATATCAGGGACTACGTTTCCAGCCGCCGTGGACGCGGTGTGTGTACCATGGCCATCATAATCCCTAGCACCTCTTTTTGTGTAGTCCCTTGCCCCGACCAACTTGCTGAAAGATAACAGAGAGATCAATTTCTACCTAGGTCAAAATACACATCGAATATAAACATAAAGGAAAACAAACAATCGAGGGCCAGGAGATATAACTTGTTGCAGGTGAAGTTTGTTCCACCGGAACAAACACCTTTCCATTTCTTAGGAGGAGGACCAAAGCCTTTGTCGGAGAAGCTTTCGGATTCCGGTGTGATCCCACCGTCGATGACTCCAATAATGGTATCACTTTCCATGGTCGGTTTCCTCTTCGTCCTCTTTCCTTCCATTAAACCCATGAAGTCCCAAGATGTCGTCGTTTGGAGTTTTAAGTTCATGTTCGGGAACACAGACACAACTCCCTCCATTTCTATGTATCAATGGGATCAAGAAGCACAATTGTTTTTATAATAAGTAAAAAATCATTTCATTATATTGTTACAGGTCGAAGAACACTCACTGGCTACTTTTTCTCGTTCTGATTCAGTGAGTCGAGCTGCGAACCCGTTGAAACTCCTCTTGTAACTTCTCACCAAGCGATTCTCGATGGAACTACAATATGTAACAATCGAGGCAGTGTATTGTACTTTTTAGAATCTTTATAACAATTTTGACGTCAATTATGATATGATTAGAAGATAAATTAAATTTAAATTAAATCATACCTCTCGATCTCTCCAGTTACCTCTTGAAGAATATTCATGTGGACAGACATTGGTGTGTAGTCTTCACTAGACGGAAGTGATCCCATGTAGACCACATACACCTTCATGGATTAACACCATCATGAATGATGGAATGGATTAACACCATCATGAATGATGGAATGGATTAACACAATATATAAACAACAAATTAAATATAATAAAATACCTGTTGGTCTTGAGGATCATTTGTGACTCCTAAGATTGAATTCAAGAACAATGCAAAGAGACATGAGAAGAGGCAAGAGGAAATTGCTCGTTTACCCATTTTTGTATAAAACTATGTAAAGTTAATTCTCTAATTTCTATGGAGATCAACATGAAGGATATATATATACATAGTATAGAAATGTCATTTAATTATATTAAAAGCTAGTATTTGACTATTTGTACAAGTTTAGGATACATATTTACTTTTTTTTTTTTTTCCTTTCTTGGAAAACATATTTACATATTTACTTGGACCTCATACAGATTTTCCCCCTTTATTGATATTTGGCAGTAACTTTAGAGAAAATCTAACTATTTTTTTCAAAAGGAAAAAAAAAACTGTAGAGAAAAGTAAAAATAATTCTTGTTCATAAACCTCTCTCTAAAGAACCCCAGATTCTTCTTACCAAAAAAAAAAGAACCCCAGATTCTTAGTTCCATTTATCAGAGCCTATAATTGTAACATATTTTCGTGATGTAGAGGATGGTGTTAACAATGGAGGACAAAGTTGGACTGGATTAGAGTAAGATAGAATTTTTTTTATCAATATTTCACTGTTTTGTAAATGAGACAATCAAAATCCCCTAAATTTTCAGATTTCTGGCAGAAACCTTTGCATATTTGAACAAGATATAAATTATATAAAAAAAAACAAAGCATCTCGATTATCCAATTAGCATATCTCAAGACATCAACATACATATAGTAAGCCGAGACATCAAAGAGCAATAATATAACCAAAACATAGAATGAAGAAACATTACAACAAAAATAAAAATTTATTTATGATGACGATGGTGAATTAGTGATGACTCATCAGTAATCACTAGTGTAAATAACAATGGGACTCCTCACGTTATGAGTACCGTCAGACCAGATTAGATTTGCAGACGAAGGGACTTCAGGGTCGAGATCGCTGCCTGTAACAGTGACCATAAAAGATTGCTTCTCGTTCACTGCCTTAAAAGACAGAACACTAGGCATGATCTTGACGTCGAGCTTAGATCCGTGACCCGCCACTACCTTTGATGTGTATGCAGAGTTTGGCGTGCCGACATTAGTCAAGGTTCTGTTGAAAGTTACAGTGAAGGTGGTACCAGATCCTGACAATTTGGCCGACATTGAAGGATAGTTGAGGTTTCTTGGTAGGATTTCTTTTTCCTCGGAGCAAGTGACGGTTTCACCAGAGATGACTTTCAGGACATGCGAAGTGTAGTTCATGCCGCAGAGAAAGGCGATGTGGTCTGCTTTGTCTAATTCATAGACAAGTCCAGGGTTTGAAGCGGCTATCGGGTCGACATGTCCAGCTCCATAAGCAAACTCGGTCGATGCGATGCCAGTTCTAGTAGCATTTACAGGCCAAGCTGAAAAGATTGGTCAAGAAACCAAATAAGAACAGAGTGACAACAAAGTTTACTTGTGGTACAAGAAACTAAGTATTGGATATAGTTTTTAGCCTACCGGTTGTCATGATGGCAGACTGAATCATGGAAGGAGACCATTTAGGGTAAAACGTTTTGACATACGCGGCCACCCCTGCAACGTGCGGACAAGACATTGAAGTTCCAGAGAGAACAGAGTACTTCACATGTCTGGTGTCATGTTGAGACGGTTCACCATCAGGTGAATATGCAGCAAGAATCTCCACTCCTGGTGCTGTTATATCTGGCTGCAATTCATCCACCATTGTCTCTTAGACCAAAGATATTATAAGCAGAATCAATATCAAAATTTGTTTTGTATAAGTACCTTGAGAATATCAACAGCGATGGTGTTTGGCCCGCGAGAAGAGAAGGAAGCAATAACAGGAGATGGCCGATTAAAGATTGCTTCAGTTTTTAGAACAGTCGCGTGTGGAGAACTGAGAAAACAAACACATATATTTCAGAATAAAGAAGGAGAAATCTAAAGCTGATGTATAAAGCCATAGAGAAGATGATTGTTAATTTACTCTGCTGATTCAAGGTAAGAGAGGAGAGACTCAAAGTCTTCTGTTAGTAAACCAGCGGCAGGTAAAGGGTGAATGAAGGCGACGTCTGGTTTAGGGGTTTGATAAATGAGTCCAATAGCTCCAACTGATTCAAATATCTTCAAACCACCCGGACCACCACACACTAAGATCTTTCCCTTCACACGGGATTCGTCTAGACACGATAGCTCACAAAGCCTGACAAGGAATTGATCTCATTATACTAGCAATTTAATTTACAAAAAGACAAAACAAAATTCTAGGTCACCATTACAATTAAGATTATGTTTCGTAGGAAAGAAGTTACCCTGCACTTTCTGGGTCGCAAGCGGAGGAAGCTGCAGATTTTCCGTACACTAGAGGGTATTCCTTTCCTTTCATATCGTAAGCATTCACTGACTTCCCCTGTTATGAAAAAGGAACAGAGGATTCATTGGTAACTAAAGAGACAAATATTTCTATGATCACAGAAATGAGAGTGTTACTTGATACTTACGACAAGTGTCTTGCCATTTCCGAGAACAACTTTGGTGACAAACCCACGGTTAGTGGTACTGGCTGCAACAGTTAAGATCCACGGCGCTACACCCGAGACTGAGATTGGTTTTGGACCGCTGTTACCGGCGGAATTCACAGTGAGGATCCCTTTGGACATAGCGTGAAAAGCCCCAATCGCAATCGGGTCATTTTCAAACATGGACGCAGTTTTATCCCCGATAGAGATGGTGATGAGGTCTACTCCATCAGCAATCGCGTCATCGAACGCAGACAATAGAGCTTCAGAACTACACCCTGTCGGGGTGCAGACTTTGTAAGCGGCTACTCTAGAGGCTGGAACACCACCTCTTATGGTTCCATTGCCGATTCCAAAGAAGCTTGCGTCCACAACTGCGTTTCCAGCCGCCGTGGACGCAGTGTGTGTACCGTGGCCTTCCGTGTCCCTAGAACCTTCGCTTGTGTAGTCTCTTGCCCCAATCAACTTGCTGAAATATTATAAACAGATTTCATTTTTCAAAACTAAGGTTAACCTCGACCAACAATACTAAAAACAATAATAATTTATTTTTTTGTACGAAACAATTCTATTCTTTAAGGAGAGAAATTAACTTAAGAGTAATTACTTGTTGCATGTGAAATTTTCGCCGCCGGAACAAACACCTTTCCATTTCTTAGGAGGAGGACTAAAGCCTTTGTCGGAAAAGCTCAGAGATTCCGGCGTGATCCCACTGTCGATAACTCCAATAATTGTATCACTTTCCACGGTAGGGTTCCTCTTTGTCTTCTTTCCTTCCTTTAACCCCATGAAGTCCCAAGACGTCGTCGTTTGAAGTTGTAACTTCTTATTTGGGAATACAGAAACAACTCCCACCATTTCTAAGAACAACACAAAAGAGTTTAATTGTTTAACCTTTAGAATCAATTTCAACATAAAGTGTGTCTCGATCGAAGAACACTCACTGGCAACTTTTTCTCGTTCTGACTCACTGAGCCTGGCCGCGAAACCGTTGAAACTCCTCTTGTAACTTCTCACCAAACGACCTTCGATCGAACTAGAAAATATATCACGTATTAAAATCTCCGAAATAAAAATATTAGAAATTTGATTATAAATTAGAGAAATGAATTAATCAAAACACACCTTTCTCCGGTGACCTCTTGAAGAATACTCATGTGATCGGACGTTGGTGTGTAGTCCGCTCGAGACGAAAGTGAGCCCATGTAGACAATATACACCTTCATGGATCATACATCATAAGCATTATCATCATTATATAACGGGTGATCACATGGACAATCAACATATCATCATAATAAATTAATAATGATATGAATCATCGATGATAACTATACCTGTTTATCATCATCTGTGACTGCTGAAACTGAACTCAAGAACAAAACAAGGAGACATGAGAGGAGGCAAGAGGAAGCTGCTAGTGTCGCCATTTTTTAAAAAATAAAATGAAGAATTTTTAGTGTCTATTATGATGTACATGAAAAGATCTTTATATAGGAGAGATAATACATGCACCGCGTCAAATTAAAAGAATCTAACTCAAGTCCTCTGATTTTGTCTTTAATTGATAGTTTGATACTATAAATTGTTATAAATAAGATCAAATTATATCTTACCCTAATTAATGATATCTGTATCAATTAAATGATAACATTGCTTACAGTCTTAGGATTCATATCTATCTAGGAATCTATTTACTCACGGTTAATATGAACTCAATTAGTGAAAAGAATAAAGTTTTGGATTAGTTTCTCTTTAATTAGTTTCCGATTTTCTTAGTCAATAAAATAGCAGGAAGAAAATCACAAATATTACAATTGAATTGTGTTCTTTGACCTACAATTGAATTGTTTTTCTTGTTGAATATACCAAACAGTAATGACAATAAGAAGGAAAAAACGAATATACTGTATATTATTTGCCACGTGGTATAATTATATTAGAAGTTAATTTAATAGCAGTTTAATTAGCTGATATGGTGAATGGACGTTACACATCGTTCACATGAAAGTTATATCCAGTCAGTGTATTTAGCCATTTTTAAGGACTAACGATGCTATTACTAAGGTATATCCAGTTAATGTATTTACCTTGTTTAAAGAATAACAGTAAATCACTAAATGATTACTTGGGTTGTGGACAATTAATTATAAATAAATTTTCATAATTCAGTTACGTTTTATTTAATTTGTTGACATTATTTTTGATATTTTCCATAATATCACGTTTTTTCCACCACAATAACTTGGCCAGTTTCGACTCCATTTATAGTTTTTCTACCAAATAAGATATATTGTTTGATATATTGCACTTTTTATTAACATGTGGATGTGTTAAATTCCTCACAAATTGCAGTTTTATGAGCTACATTATCTAACTCTTTGATTATACATTAAGGATATTAATATTTTATAATTTTTTGGATATTAAAAATATTATAATTAGTGTTCAAACTTGCTACTATAAAATAATATAAATATATTAAGACATTTTAAAAATACTTCCATACACATATACTTCATAAAAGTGTAATATATGAAAGTTTGGAGTATAGAAATAAATCATATGTACATTTATTTTAGACTAAATTACTGCTTAAATAAAGCAAAATTAATAAAAATCACACCGGTAATAAATTGAAGATTTTCTTACAAACTTGAAAATTCTGTCATCTGATCATCTGAAAATCTATTGGAAGTAAATATGTTTAAAGATTCTCAATAGCAAAAAAAAAAACAAAAAAAAAAAGTGTGATATACGTTCATTGTTTGGGTAAATTTTTCGTTTTCAAGAACTAACGAACCATGTGAGATGTGTAAGCAGAGTCGTGCCCACCTTTATAAACAAGAAACATTCGTCTACGGCACAGTTTTTTTTTTTTGTTTTTGTGTTTGAGGTCTTATTTTGACATTGATATTTAAGGGTCTGACTGGTTTAAACGCAGCGGTTGCGGTTGCGGTTGCGGGAGTTTGCGGAAGCGGGCGGTTGAGGTTTCAAGCGTTACCAAGCGTTTTGAACGACTGGTTTAGCGTTTGAAAATGGATGCGTTTGCGGGAGTTTTATGACTGGTAAATCAGCGGTTGCGGTAGCAGTTAAATAAAAAAATGACCAAAAAAATAAAAAATATTACAAAAAAAGAAATAAAAATACTAATATATTATTATGATAATATTAGAAAAATTGAACATGCTTAATAATTAAAACCATAAATAAAGTACTAAATAGTTATTCAAAAATAAAGAAATTTTGTAAAAAGATAGTATTTTATACTGGGTTAACACTAAAAATTGCATCAAGTAATGAGGCAAACTGTAAATAACGTTGAATTCAATCAAAAAGCAAGTGATTTTCTATTCGAAAAAATAAATCGAAACATATATTCAATCAAAAAGCAAAGCAATACATAATGAAAAGAAAAAAAAGATGCTAAGAAAAATATTCAAAGAGTTACACATGAGGTGATGAATGAATAAAATGATATATGATACTTACGTTTGGTTCTTGATTTTCATCAGTTTTGGTGGAAGACATTGAGAAAATAAAATTTTAGAATATTGATTAGGGTTTATGATGAGAACGTGATACAAAGATGAAAGATACATATAGGATAAATATATTTTATAATAATTATAAGTAAAGGTTTGTTTGTTTTTTTTTTTTTTTTTTTTTTTTTTTTTTTTTTTTTTTTAAATCCAACCGCTACCACCCGCAACCGCAAACGCTTGCGGGAAGGAGCTTTTGAAATTCAGCGATTTCGAGTGGTTTAAAGCGGTATAGAACGGTTTCTATGATTGGTACCAACCGCTAACAACCGCAATCGACCGCTAGCAACCGCTAGGAGGGCGCTAGCGGGAGAACCAATCAAGCTCTAAGTATAGTGGTGAACATGTCACAGTTTGACACTTATCAAGTTATATCATACATTTTCGTTCAATCAATAAACTCTTCTTCTTCTTTTTAGTTCCGTGTTTTACCTAATTTCTATATCATTGTAAAACATTTTTTTTCTCTATATTGATTACTGTATCTATTTGTAAAAGGGATCCATTTCTAAAATTATATTATTTTATGTAAAATTCTTCTTATTTTTTTTTATATTTTTTGTTTACAATATCTTTAAAATTGAACTAGATGTTTGTGGTAAAATCCCTGTTCTAAAAATCCCCGCCTAGCCCCGATTACTCCCCGCTTAATCGCTAGGCCCACCCTCTCCGCCTCGATTAATGACTAATCCCCTAAAAAATCAGTAACCCGATTATTCTCCGTCTAATCCGATTATTTCCCGCCTAATCCGATTATTTCCCGCCTAATCTTACGTACCCCGATTATTTTTTAGATTACAAGTATAAAAAAAACATTTTATTTTTGTTATTCAATCATTTGAATTGGGAGTTTGTGATGTTTTACATAACTTGTGTTCAAATTTTAATAAAAATCATAAAAATTTGTTTTTACTGTAATTTTGAAAACAATATTGAATTAATATATTTTAAAAATATTAAAATAACCCTAAAACTAATCCCCGATTAATCCCCGATTTTAATCCGATTTTCCGATTAATCGCTAGGCCCATGCCGAACGCCCGACTAGCGCCTAGCGATTTTTCAAACAAGGGGTAAAATTGAAATGTTTTATCAATTGAATATATTATGTATACACTATATTATGTTTAGACCATATGAAGCATTATATTATATTTTAACTTAAAAACAATATTTGTTTTTGGGCTTCTTAAGTGCTAAAATCCGCTTTGTGTGTAAGCGCGCATGGTTAGGCAGAAGATTTTTCGCCGAAAACTCTTTACCTTTCGAAACAGCATTTTGATTGTTTGTTAGTTTTGGGCCTTCTGGCGTAAGTTCGTTTACTCCACTAAAATCAGCTCGCCCTAAAGAAGAAGGCTAGAAACTTAATTAACAGAGATCAATGAAAATTAACAAAGAGTTGACTAAATCATTCTTTTTTTTTTTTGTCGATTAGAGTTGATGACGAAACTATAACTGTAAAGTTTCCCTCTCCATAACATGACATTGTTTTCTTTTTCAGTTCATGACATGTGTTATGCTTTTAAATCAAAGGAAAACATGCATATATAGACCTCTTTCTTTTGTGATAAAAAAAACATGCATAAACTATTATTCCAATATAAAAAAAACTATCATACCCTTTATTAAAAAAAAAAACAAGAAAAATTTATTATTTCAATATATAATAATCAAGAGGCCATTACTTCTAACATCTCACCTCATCACAATTCTTATTTATTACAAAAAATTTTAAAAAATTTATATGGTAAAACAAGGTATTAATATTGTGGCTGTCGAGTGATACGAATTGCTAATTCACATTCATTAATCGCGTCACATCTCTCTAATTTCCAATCCAATATTTTGTATATTTATGTCATGATATATTATCTTAATTGTGCTTATAAGCTATTGTAACTTGTAAGTTGTGAGTTGTGTGACAAACAAATTATTTCACACATTCATATGGTATCAGAGTACCTCAAAACCCTCTTTATTTTCTTCCTCCTTCTCCCTTTCATGAGGTACAAGTCCGTAGCCACTACTGCTTGCGAGGGTCAAGGTGAAATGATAACGAAGCTGATAATTTCTAGGTTTCATAACGCGGATCAACGTACTTGACGATTCCAAAATCGGGAAAGACAATAAGAAGAACATGTCCGATGAGATAAAGACACAACAGTTGAATTATCTTATTCAATGTTCTTAGACATCCAAAATTGAATGATTATAACAACAACAATAATGGTTTATGATGACGATGGTGGTGAGAAGTCACCAGTATAAACAACAATGGGACTTTTCACATTATGAGTTCCATCAGACCAAATTAGATTTGCAGACGAAGGCAGTTCTGAATGGAGCTCGCTTCCCGAAACAGTCACCGTGAAAGACTGCTTCTCGTTCATCGAATTCATAGATAGAACACTAGGTGAGACCTTGACGTTGAGCTTAGTTCCGTGATTTAAGACCACTTTTGATTTGTATGTAGAGTTTGGGGTACCGACGTTGGTGACGGTTCTGTTGAAAGTGACGGTGAAGGAGATATTAGATCCCGACAATTTAGCCGACATTGATGGATAGTTGAGGTTTCTAGGTGATATTTTTTCAGTGCAAGTGACGGCTTCACCGGAGATTAGTTTCACGGTAGTCTTATTGTAGTTCATGCCACAGAGGAAGGCAATGTAATCTCCTTTGGTTAAATCATAGACGAGTCCAGGATTAGTAGCAGCTATTGGGTCTACATGACCAGCTCCATAAGCAAACTCGGTTGATGCATAGTCAGATTGAGAAGCATTCATAGACCAAGCTGTGAGATATTAAGAATACCAAAGAAGAACAGAGCATGAACAAAATTTGATGGTTTTCTTGCGAGACAAGAAAGTATGATTTATTACTGAAGATAGAATTTTCTCTTGACCTGTTGTCATAATGGCAGATTTTATCATGGAAGGGGACCATTTAGGATGAAACGTCTTGATGTAGGCGGCTATGCCTGCAACGTGTGGACAAGACATTGAAGTTCCGGATTCAACAGAGTATTTCACACAAGTGGTGTCATAAAACGGTGATGCCTTGGGTGAATTTGCAGCCAAAATTTCCAGTCCTGGTGCTGTTACATCCGGCTGCATTTTCACCACTTTCTCAGATTGAAAAAATGAGAGATCAATCTAAGCATAACCAATACATATCATATAATACCTTGAGAATATCAGCAACGATGATGTTTGGACCGCGAGAAGAGAAGGAAAGAACTTTAGGAGCTGTCTTATAAAAGATTGCCTCACTTTTTAGAACAGCCGCTTCTGGGGACCTAAAGATTCAACCCCAAGAAAAATGAGAATAAAGAAAAACTTATACACACACAAAAAAAAGTGTATGATTCAAAAGATAGAAGATAACTGTTTACTTTGCGGACTTAATGTAAGAGAGGAAAGACTCAAAGTCATCTTCTTGTAAGCCAGATACAGGTAAACCGTTGATTTGGGCCCAGTCTAAATCATCTTCAAAAATGGCTGCAACAGCTCCCTTTTTATAGGCTACGTAGGGAAAAAATCTATTGCACACCAAGATCTTTCCCTTCACCAGGGATGCGTCAAGACAATCTGGCGTGCAATCCCTGAAAATAAATTATAGAGAAAAAAATCTCATCATCACCAATCAGAAATATAAAAGTATTTCTAGGTCACAAACTGTATTTCTTGTGTAGAAAGTTGCTTGGCGCATTCCACTTGTGAGGGAGACGAAGCAGCAGATTTTCCATACACCAGAGGGAACTTCTTTCCTTTGAGATCAAAACCATTCACTGATTTTCCCTTATAGGAAAAAAAAGAAAGAAAAAAAAAGAGTCATTAATTGTTATTTTAAAGGACAAATTAAAGATACACTATGATAACAGAAAATGAGAGTGTTACTTGATACATACGACAAGTGTCTTTCCGTCACCGAGAACCACTTTGCTGACAAACTCACGGTTCGCTGTGCTGGCTGCAACGGTTAACATCCACGGTGCTAAGCTCGTGATTGAGGCCGTATCCGGACCAGTGTTACCAGCCGCGTTCACAGTGAGGATTCCTTTGGACATAGCGTGAAAAGCTCCAATTGCGATCGGGTCTTTCTCGAACGGGTACACACTAATATCACCTATAGAGATGGTGATGATGTCAACACCATCGGCGATGGCGTCATCGAACGCAGACAGTATTGCATCATCTCTACATTCCCCGGCGCAGACTCTGTAAGCAGCGATTCTAGAAGCTGGAACTGCACCTCTCACCGTTCCAGTGCCGATCCCAAAGAAGCTGGTATTAGCGACTGCGTTTCCAGCCGCAATAGACGCGGTGTGTGTACCGTGGCCACTAGAGTCCCTAGCATCTCCTGGTGAGTAGTGTCTTGCCCCAATCAGCTTGCTGTAAAAATGACTAACATATATCAATCTCTGCCCCCAAAAAATAGGCAAGACTTTTCATTCAACCCCTGAAGTCTAAGCCATGACTCACGTAGAGAGTCTTACCTAGACTATACGTAAGCTTGTGAAAAAAGAAATTAAAAAATATTTTCATGTTGTCATAGGATATATAAATGTTTTCCTTTCATTTGCATTTGGCATCTACGATTAACAATAAACTTCGCTTAAAGTGTTTAAAATTGTGAGCTCATTGGAAACATGTGAACTATATAAAAACCTTATGTAAACGCACACAATGAAGTTTTGATCAACAATTCTAACATGTATAGAGTTTAAAGAGAGGAAAGAAATAGATTTACTTATTGCAGGTGAAGTTCTTGCCGCCGGCACAAATGCCCTTCCATTTCTTTGGAGGAGGACCAAAGCCTTTGTCGGTAAAGCTTTCGGATTCTGGCCAGATTCCACCGTCGAAGACTCCAATAATTGTATCACTCTCCACAGACGGATTCCGCTTCGTACCTTTACCTTCCTTAAGTCCCATGAAGTCCCAAGACGCCGTCGTTTGGAGTTTTAATTTCTTGTTCGGAAACACAGACACAACTCCCTCAATATCTAACAATAGCAGGAAGGGTTTTAGGCTTGAATGAGTCAATTGTTTTGTTCACGTTTACATGTAAAGAGAAAAATCAAAACGAATCTACATCATTTAAATTTTTTTTTAAAAAAAAATGATTTTCACATTTTCATAAAATAGTTTTGCAACTATGATACACTTGGTTCCGTTTATGTATGACATTTGAAACTAACATAAAAATTTGGCTTGAGATGATAAAGGTTATGGATTATTTAGAAAAATACACACTAAGTGTAAACTTTTTTTTTTTTTTACGAAAACGAAAGAGTAGTTGAAGAACAAATCATTTGAGTGTATCATTAAAGACTATATAGGCCTCGAAGAACACTCACCGGCTATTCGTTCTCGTTCTGACTCAGTGAGCCTGGCAGCAAACCCGTTAAAACTCCTCTTGTAACTTCGCAATAAACGACCTTCAATCGAACTAAAATAATATATATATGTCATTATTAATAATCCTGATAATTTAAAGTAATAATGATTAGAGAATGAATAAATCAAATCATACCTCTCTCTGGCGACCTCTTGAAGAATACTCATGTGATGCGACATTGGTGTGTAGTCCACTCGAGAAGGAAGTGAACCCATGTAGATGATATACACCTTAATTAATAACAATAATCGTCATTTGTCAACATAATCACTATGTATAATCTAGAAACAAGAGATTTTGATCATTGATATAATAATATACCTGTTTATCTTGATGATCATATGTGACTGCTGAGACTAAAATCAAGAACAACAAGACAAGGAGACCTGAGAGGAGGCTAGAGAAAGCTCCTCGTCTTGCCATCTATAGAATTGATAGATTAAAATTGGTTTCTAACTTCTGTGGAGATCAAGATGAAAAGATATTTATATATTAGATATCATACATAGACTTAAGTAAAGAAAAGAATCTAATTTCTGTTTCTACGCTTAGCTTATTGTTTTGTCTTTTGCCCAAACCGTTTTCAAACAAGAAATTATATTTTGTTTTTATATATGTACTCGTAATCATATACCACGGGAGAATTTTATTTTTCGATGTGGTAAGTCACCATATTTTTGGAATCTATAACGATAGTAACATGTTGCGAGTTCCAATAAAAAAAATATCTCAAAAGAAAAAAAAACGAACTGAAGCATGGGAAGAATGTGTGACTTATTAGGGTTGATATTTGTGGCATGGGAAGGGTCGTCAGGATTGAGAGAAGAGAGGTCCAATAGTTTGGGGCAAAACTGCTTACGACTTTTGGAACAATTTGGAGGCAGAAGCAACAGCGTCGTCTTGGATAATGTGCCTAGACAATCTTGGTTTTGGGAATGTGATGATATTTGAGAGTGATGCAAGTGTTCTGTTTCTGGCCCATCTCTGCAGAGCTTTACACGAGACATTGTAGTAGGCAAGGACAAAAGCGACCCTCGTTTTTCTGTTTGTATGGAGAAGACAACGACCTAACATGTTTGCTGAATTCATTGCTAAAAGAGCACTTTATTTTGTGTATTATGCGGTTTTAGATAAATAAGTCGCACAGTTTTGTATTCTGTCTAATATCAAACATTCAAACGATTCGAAACATAATGATCGAGGCAAAAAGTAGAGTAATTTTCAAGGGATTGGGCACCAAACCAATCATTATTAGGGCAGAACGTTTGTGGCTTATTACAAAGCTGTTTGAATATAAGGAACTAGTAAGGCCACAAGGACTTCGATGTTTGCAGTCAAAACTAACTAGTAAAGAAGTACATGACTTTTAAATAGTTCTTCTTGAAACCTATGCAGATTTTTGTCAAACAAGTATATGAACCCACACAAGTTGCTCCAAGGAGTTACATTTTGTGTCCATTCCTAAACGGAACTGCAATATACTAGTCGAATAAGATTCAACAGCGTTATCCTTTTGGTTCAAGTGTGAAGGTAGTTAGCAGCCATCATCAGCTCTAGAGTCAGTTCAGGCTCAATGTGAAACTCAGTCTCTTTGCCTCTGTCCAAAGGTGGAACATTTGCATATCAGTAGTTAGAAAATAGACGACTATGAAAAGAGAGAAAGATAGGGATATAGAAGCAGAGAAAGAGGTAATCCGATTCATTCGCTAGATAAAAAAAACTGGACACTTTCGATAGATTGTTCCGAACATTACGAAACTAAAAGCAGCATGTTAAACAATATTACTTTCAACTAATCCTAAAGATGAATGAGAATGGGGTCAAAAAGTTTGCAATGTAAATATTTCTCTAAAGGATGTGTTTTATTTTTCCCGAATCCCGAGTGATCGGCTAAAGTGAAACTTAGATAACTACAAACGGCAATGAGGTTCTGAATAGAGAATAGTACGATGCCACCATGTTGTAGAGATCAAAGTAGGATAATGAAACCTGGAGTACTGAAGAGACCAGTAGAAGTACTGGCAGATCTTCTCTAGTATTGTGGTGCTGATATCAGGGAAAGTCACTACGCCATCTTTCGATTCCGAGAAACCACCTTCAATACAAGAAAACAACAGAATTTCTTCTTCAAATCTCAATAAATTCAGCATCTATCATGATCTAATGACATTGGACTAGCTTCCTTATTGAAATTGGGAGATTCAAATTACGTAACTGAATTTCCGATTGAGCATAATCTCTCGCGAGATTTCTCTCAAATTCACAACTAAATCAGATTCAATTTCACAGAATCCATCGAAATCAAAGAAGAGAAATAAGATCAGAATCGGGATTACGATCACCAACCCTACAACCAAAGAAGAGAAGAAACCTGGAGAAGTGAGCATGCTTCGGATAGTCTGAGAAACCATAGCGGCTTCTCTGTCGATGACGAACTCGAATCCTTCCATGCTTATTAACTTCACCGTCTCTCTCATCTTCGTCGTCGTCTTTCCTCTGTTTCTCTCTACCGCGGCGTGGTTTCTTAACTCGCAGAGACCGACCGAGTCAGTTGTTGGTTGATCTCAAACTATTATGGGCTCAATTTCAAATGAAGCCCATTATGAATTATGATGTCTATATAATATTGTTATTGGCCCACTAAAATCACACTCTATTTCAGCCTTTTAGCTGCAATTTATTTCAATCTTCTTGATACAAAAATTATAGGGGAAATATTAAATATCTAACCAAACTTTTAATAAGTCAGGGGAAAACAAAGTAATCTAATAGAGCTTGTAAATTAAATAAAACCTTTTAAACTAGTTTAGATTACTTTATTTAATGAGCTTGTAAAATTCTACAAATTTTGACATTTTCGAAGTTGTAGAAAACAAACTTTAAAATGAAGGAAACATAGTAACATTTATCAAAACTATAACCAGAAGTTTTAAGGGTTGGTGAAAGATGTGATTCACCTAGGAATCATACATAATCTCTTTACAAGCAAAACGAGAGATTATATTGATTTACTTTTTTATATAATCCCAATCAGAGTACTCCAGGTTCGAGTGCCGAAACCATAGTCCAAATGAAAATACACCACTAATCTTTTTCAAACTTATCACCAAAAAAAGTGACGTAGAAATCTTTAGTCTACTACTATATAATTATCGAATGATCAATCAACCACAGAGAACAGACCATCACCAACACATGACAGAATGTAAATTAATTAATGACGTGGCTCTTATTAATTGGCTGGTTACAATGTTAACATGAGAGTCATTACCGTATCCGATAATAACTTTAATCCCATAAATACCCTTGAAACATGCTCTTGCTTTTTGTCAGCTGCCTACCATAGAATCAATCATTTATCTGCCACCTCAGCCCCCACTTTTGTCAATTTATTTAAATACGGCGTCGTTTATTTTCCGTATCAACTTGAAAAAGCCGTCGTTTATTTTCCGTATCAACTTGAAAAAGCCAGTTATACAAATTACACGACCATCATACGTATAATCACAATTAACAGTTCCTCAATTGCTGAAAAATTTTCATAATCAAAAGAGTGTTTCTTCAAGAGAAAAAAGTTTCATTCTTTCAACAGATCTGAAGAGGGTAAACTAAAATTCGATTTCATCCGCCATTTTTTCAGGGGAAATAAACAAAAGGTATGTTCTTTTGGGCTCGAGTTAATTTTCGTTGGATCTGTCACTTTACGAAGATCGCTTGTTGATTTCTGGCGATTGTTTGTGTTCATAGGTGAGATCAAAGAGGAAAAATGGCGCATAGGGTTGAACAGGATTATGATTATTTGTTTAAGATCGTGTTGATTGGTGATTCTGGTGTTGGGAAATCAAACATCTTGTCTAGATTCACAAGGAATGAGTTTTGTTTGGAATCTAAGTCCACTATTGGTGTTGAATTCGCCACCAGAACTCTTCAGGTCATTTTCTTTTTCTTTTTTTTCCTTTAAATTTTACAAGTGGTAGTATCAGTATCAGAGAAATTTGAACTAGTATCTTGTTCATGATCATGCCATGTGTCAATTTCAAGCTCTTTCTTCATTTTTCACGTGATCTCTATTTGGTTTGATATGTTAGGTTCTGAGGGTTGTTCCTTCTGGTTTGCTAGCTGCTTCATGGTCTCATCTTTAGGTCAATGGTAGTAGTTCATTTGATGCACTTGTGTTCTTATTTTTACTCTCTTTCCTTTTCTTACTTGTAAAGTTTCATCCTTTACCTATCCTTTTTGGTCAGTCTAAGGAACATGCTTATGTTAGGTAACATATAAGTGAAAAAGATTCTGTGTTTTCTTGAGCATTGAATAATTTTAACTTTTGATACTATTCCTTGCATTGTTGTTCTCTCATCTTTTTGAATTTGGTTTTTTATTGCTTAGAGATTTTATTATCAAGAGAGAATCTTAGAATGTGCTGGCCATGAGTCATTAGGAAATGTTTTTGTATGGATGGTGGAGAAAGCCAATGGACAAAAAGCTTCCCACAACTTGTCCCTAATAATGAATTGTTTCCCTCATCATTAAAGTCAACTCTCAATCCCTCGAGAAGTCAACGCATGAAAACATTAACATAATCAGCTGATGTATGAAAATTGTTGATGGCTTAACTAATGTTTTTAATTGTTGAGACATTTAAAACCTTGAAACAAGACGAATAACTATCTCTGAAGCACGGAGATGCTACTTGAGATCTTACCAGTTGTTGATTATTTTGCTTTTTTTTTGTGATTGTTTTATGGTTATACAGGTTGAAGGAAAGACTGTTAAAGCCCAGATCTGGGACACTGCAGGGCAAGAGCGGTACAGAGCTATCACAAGCGCTTACTACAGAGGCGCGGTAGGTGCGCTTCTTGTCTATGACATTACCAAAAGACAAACCTTTGACAATGTCTTAAGGTGGCTACGTGAACTAAGAGACCATGCAGATTCCAACATAGTGATCATGATGGCTGGGAACAAAGCTGATCTAAACCACTTGAGATCAGTTGCTGAGGAAGATGGACAGACTCTAGCTGAGACAGAAGGTCTCTCTTTCTTGGAGACATCTGCTCTTGAAGCCACCAATGTTGAAAAAGCATTTCAAACTGTGTTAGCAGAGATTTACCACATCATCAGCAAAAAAGCTTTGGCTGCTCAAGAAGCAGCGGCTGCTAATTCCGCGATTCCGGGGCAAGGAACAACGATTAACGTTGGTGACACATCTGGAGCTGGCAAAAGAGGTTGCTGCTCTACTTAATTGACAGTTTAAACTTTCATTTTCTATTGCTTATTCTCTGTCTTTTTTCTCTTCAAGTTTTGGCTGATGAAATGTAATAACGATGCAAGACCATGTAGAATATATTTCTTCATTTACTCGTCTTACCATCTTCGATGGGTTTGTGTTAAGTAAAAAAAGAAGATAAAAGCTTGTTCTCTCTTTGAATTGGTATGTTCCGGTTAGTTCTCGTTAATAAATAAGTAAACAACTGGTCTTTCTTTTTCAACTCCGGTTTTGTCTTAACGCATACTCACGGTTTTGTGGAAATAGAAAACAAAGACAAAAGGGTTTCATTTTTCCAATTGTTTAAAGAAGGTTTATTTGATCATGATGTTGGAGGCAAAGAGAAAAATGTTGGTCTAGTTTTAGCTAAAGTGTTGGTTTAACCAAAGCCTGACATCTTAATTCTTATGGAGGGCTAATGATCTTAAGACGGATATAAGATTCAATCCACGAAGCTTATCCACTTTTTTCAAATTTAGAACGAAAAATTTGGTGATCTTGATGATGATTTAACTTCTGATGATATTGAAGACAATAACATCTTACATGTCACTTCTTATAGCATAAAATAACTACGGAAAATATAGACCGATCCTATTTTAAAAGGTTCTAGGTATGCCTTAGGATCACAAAAACAATTTCAAAATAGTCGAGAGCAAAGCTTTGTAAGTTTGGTCTTGTTTAAGTCGAATGAGAATTTCTTTTGATACTCTTATTCGAAGATATAGGTTAATATCCAATGAAAATTAATTGAAAAAATGTCCAATTTAGAGTAAACTTATATGTATTTGAATAATAGAAGATTTTAACATAAAAAATCGAAAATAAAACTACAATTTCAATCTAATGAACTCCTAAATTCATGTTAGTCAATATATTATAAGAAAATGAGGATGAATTGGCAGAGAAAATTTGGTCATAATGAATCACTATATATATGAAAAATAATTCTTTAAAGATCACTAAAAAAATCATAAGTGATGTGCTAATATAGTGGGGACAAGCAAATCCATCCGAAATGCAAGAGAACACGGACAGAGATGATTAGGGCATCATCAATGAGGGATCATGTGAGGGTGTTCTTATAGAGAATATAATGTTAAAATAATGTAAGATCATGTGTTTAGATCTTTTGTTTAGAAGTTGATTAGTGGGAGAACATGTGTAAGATCTTAAGACTTAATAATATAATAATCTAAATTAAATTAAGATTTTACAATTATTAAAACATTTAAAAATAACATATAAATTGCAAATGCCAAATTTATGAAAAACTGAAAATAAAAGTGAAAATACAATACTAAATATTTATGAAAAAAACATTAAAAATATAAATAACAATAAACAAACAAACATATTACTTAATAAAAGCACAAAAACATTTTATCTAATTAATACATAGTTTATTATCCAAATTTATTCCAAATATGTTGAATATTCCAACCAATGCCCAAATGCCACGTCACCCCGGAACACCCACAAGAACAGATCCAGGTCAAGAGCCCAGTTCCTGATCTTAAGCCCATTGACCCATTTTTTTGGATTTAAATAATGCTTAGATCGGGGGGGGTGATCCCCCAATGCAGATGGTCTAATAACATTATATGCAAAGAGAGTTGTATTAACCTATTATTATTATTCGACTATTTTATTTTCAAAATAAATAATAAAATAAAAAAATAACTAAAGGGCGAAAAAAAAAAAATAACCACTAACCTTCGATAAACTCACCCATCACAGAAATTCGTTGGAAAGAAAAAATAAATAAAAATTGGGGAAAACAAAGGCGAAAACTTTTTTGGTCCAAAGATCGAGAGAGAAGATTTTGAAATTTTTTGTATAAGTTTTTCGATTTATTTGTCCGAAAGTTTGAAACTTTTTGTAAGATAATTGCGTTGTGGTTGGATCGTGTTGGTTTGGAATGGCGCAACAAGGGCAGGGAAGCATGGACCCTGCCGTTCTCGATGATATCATTCGTCGTTTGTTGGATTACAGAAACCCTAAGCCTGGTACGAAGCAGGTTATGCTCACCGAGTCTGAGATCCGACAGCTTTGCATCGTCTCTAGAGAGATTTTCCTTCAACAGCCTAACCTCCTTGAGCTCGAAGCTCCTATCAAGATCTGCGGTAAATTTCGATTTCTGATTTATGGGTTGTTTTCGTTTTTGGGATCTGAGGTCTTTTGTGATTGACTTTGCTTGCTTCGTTTAGATCAGCTCTCCAAAAAGATAGTTTTTTTTTTTTTTTGTTGGTATGGTTTCTCTGTTGAGTAGGTTTGAATTGGTTTTAGGCAGCGATATGTTTGTTTGGTCAAGTTGGTGTGGATTAGCTAAGAGATGATAGAGATGTTTAATCCATCATCTGATTGCAGCAGCTGATCTCGAAACAAAGAGACAAGTTAATGGACACATAAAGATCCTTGGGTGAGACCTCGTGAAAAAGGTTTAAATCACCTTTTTTAGCTGAATATATATCTTAGCGATTGAGGTTTGTAACCTAGGATGGATGGATTTGTTTGTTTTTAGGAGGTTTAGAAATTTATCTGTTTTGTGTGTTTGATTTGTCTGTTAAATTCATCACATGGATTTGTAATGGTTTTGTTTGTTTTTTCAGGTGATATTCATGGACAATACTCTGATCTATTGAGGCTGTTTGAGTATGGAGGCTTCCCACCTACTGCTAACTATTTATTCTTAGGAGATTACGTGGACCGCGGCAAGCAGAGTTTGGAGACTATTTGTCTTCTGCTTGCCTACAAAATCAAATACCCCGAGAACTTTTTTCTTCTTAGAGGAAACCACGAATGTGCTTCTATTAACAGAATCTATGGATTCTATGATGAATGTAAACGTCGATTCAGTGTGAGACTCTGGAAAGTGTTTACAGATTCTTTTAACTGTCTCCCCGTCGCTGCTGTTATAGACGATAAGATATTATGTATGCACGGTGGGCTTTCTCCCGATTTGACCAATGTGGAAGAGATTAAGAACATTAAGCGACCTACCGATGTTCCAGACTCTGGTTTGCTCTGTGATCTGCTTTGGTCTGATCCAAGCAAAGATGTCAAAGGTTGGGGGATGAATGATCGTGGAGTCTCTTACACGTTTGGGCCTGACAAAGTCGCCGAATTTCTAATAAAGAATGATATGGACCTCATCTGCCGTGCCCACCAGGTTCGTTTACACACTGTTCATTGTTCTAGTTACTAAAAATGTCAAGGAATTTCTAAAAAAATCTGTTGTGTTTTTCTTTTTCCCAAAGGTTGTAGAGGATGGGTATGAGTTTTTCGCCGATAGACAGCTTGTTACGATATTTTCTGCTCCCAACTACTGCGGTGAATTTGACAATGCTGGTGCTATGATGAGTGTTGATGAAAGTTTAATGTGCTCTTTCCAAATTCTTAAGCCTGCTGATCGAAGGCCCCGGTTCTTATGAAGTAAAGAGGTAGTTCAAGTCTTATATACTAACTTATGATGAGTGTTCAGATTGCAATAAAAGTTCATCTGAAAGAACCGATATGCATTTCTTCTCAAATGACTTAGATTATGACATTAGTTCATCTTTTGCATACAGAAAATTAATTGATTAAAACAGAAGTAGTTGTGTTTTGTGTGCTAAAGTTTTGATTTTTGTGAATATGAGCTCAGATCTTGGATCTCAGATTCAATCACTTATATAAAAATTCGTTCATTTTTGCATGTTGCAGTTAAAACCTCGCGGGAAAGAAGAGGAAAAAGGCGATACGAAAGCGGGAGAGACATTCGAAGCTCCCTGAGACTTTGTCCGGAGGCCTTGCAAAGGCAAAAAAAAAACATAATTTACATGTTATATCATCTTATTTGAACTCTTGCCATTTCTTTTCTCAAAGCACTTTATGTTCTTATGATCTTCTTCTTCTCTGACTCTATATAGACAGTAAAAAAAAGTCTGCAAATTTTCATTCTTTTCAACAACCAATTTCCTCAGTGCACATACTATATAATTCTGTATCCACACTACACACACATACACTCTGGGGAATCTTCGGTTTCATGGATTCGTCACCACTCAAAGCCTCAGATCCTTTGCTTAGTTGGGGTCGTCGCTGCAAATTACTTGACAATTGGAGAGATTCTGCGAAAAAGCGAATACAAGTTGACTAAAAGGTCAAAGCCCTGGTTCTATATGAAACTGTCAAACTTTGGACGTGCATGGATCTAAAAGCCTGTCACTTTGCTTTCCTGGATTTAGGGTTTTAAAACCAGCTGTGAGGTTTATGCAATGTGGCAATGTCACTGCAATGTGTAGTGTAGAGTCTCGAGTCCTCTGTTTATTTATAAAACCCGTTTTTTAACTTGCTATTCACAACAACAAGAAGAAGAAAAATGAAGTCTTTTGTAGCTACTTTTGCTCTCGCAGTGTTGGTAACACAAGGAAGCATTTTTAGTTTGTGTTTGGCCTCTTCTTCTTCTACAAACTCCTTTTCTAATTGGTTTCATCATTACCTACACCTCCGCCAACTACGTATCCTCCACCAGAACAATATCCACCGCCGATCAAGAAGTATCCTCCGCCAGAACAATATCCACCGCCGATCAAGAAGTATCCTCCGCCAGAACAATATCCACCGCCGATCAAGAAGTACCCACCGTCGCCGTACGAGACTTACCCTCATCCACCGCCGATCAAAACTTACCCTCATCCGCCGGTGAAGTATCCTCCGCCGATCAAAACTTACCCTCATCCGCCGGTGAAGTATCCTCCGCCGATCAAAACTTACCCTCATCCGCCGGTGAAATATCCTCCGCCGATCAAAACTTACCCTCATCCGCCGGTGAAGTATCCTCCCCCAGAACAGTATCCACCGCCGATCAAGAAGTATCCACCGCCGACTTACCCTCATCCACCGGTGAAGTATCCACCGCCGATCAAGACTTACCCTCATCCGCCGGTGAAGTATCCACCACCTCCGTACAAGACTTACCCTCATCCGCCGATCAAGACGTATCCTCCTCCGAAGGAATGTCCTCCTCCGCCGGTACATTACCCTTTTCCCCCGATCAAGAAATATCCTCCACCGGTTGTGTATCCGTCGCCACCATATAAGAAGTATCCACCGCCATCATATCACTTAACACCTCCACCTTACGGCGGATATCCTCCGGTTGATCCATAGTTACTCAGAAGTCAGAACCAAACAAGGACGTGTTCGTGACTTCGTGTATAAGTATCTGTCTTAGTTAAAAACTGTTCTGTTCTTTCTGTTATGTTCTTTCTTTTTCTTATGATGCATCAAATAAAGAATAAACTGTTCTGTTTCTTGAAGAATATGATTTCATTACAGCAACATGATTAAGAATTAAATACGCATCAAATCTCATTATTTAGTTCTGAATTTGTTAAGTGCGTTAAAAAAACAAAATTAAAACGTAATTGGTCAAGAAAAAAAAAAGAGTTAGGAAAAAAGGAAAACAATTTAATTATATAAAAAAAGGGAAACTTATCAAGCAATCTGGGCCGTTCAGATTTGTCGAGATCCGACGGTTGACAGAAAACTACCATTGGGCAGGTTTTATAACCAGAGCGAATTGGAACTCAAAACTAAATTGCTCAATAAGACACATTAACAAGCCTCAGAGACAGAGAGAGTTCAGAGAGCAAGAGAGAGAGAGAGAGAAGTCGAGATGTTCTTCCACATAGTATTGGAGCGGAACATGCAGTTGCATCCTCGTTTCTTTGGTCGAAACCTTCGTGAAAACCTCGTATCTAAACTCATGAAAGATGTCGAAGGCACTTGCAGGTTTTTTCTCTATTCCACTTATCGTAGAGAAAATCAACAATTTGGGATGCTTTAATCGGAAACCCTTTTCCTCAATCCTCAATTCGGATTCGTTTTCCATAAGACACCTTTATAAAAAAAATTGCATATTTTTTCGAAACCCTAACCTCCGTCTAGTTCAATTGGTTAGGTTTTAGGGATTAGAGTGGATTCAATTCGAAAAAAGATCCTTCTTTTAGCTAAATTTGGAGTCTTTCTCTGCTGCTTGTAACTAAAGTCTGATTTTTTAAGCAGAATCTTTAATCTTAAGGGATTTGTTCTGAAGCCTTTAGCTTTCTTAGGATTAAGATATGAAAGTTCATCCATCGCAGCTCACTTAGATGTCTGCTTGCTAGTCTTTCAGATCCAGTATCTTGTTTTGTATTCGAAAACTTTGTTCTTTAGTATAGTTTGCTTAATCCATTGCTTGTGACAGAGATTAGTATTTGAAGCCTCTAGCTTTGTCTTTGGTTTATATTTAAGATGTGAAATTCATCATTTGCAATGTCATATTGATGCTTTTTGTTTTGTGGTATGGACAGTGGCCGTCATGGATTTGTAGTGGCGATAACTGGAATTGAAAGCATAGGAAAGGGTTTGATCAGAGATGGGACTGGTTTTGTCACCTTTCCAGTTAAATACCAATGCGTTGTTTTCAGACCTTTCAAAGGCGAGATTTTGGAAGCTGTTGTCACTTTGGTCAATAAGGTATTGTATATAGTTTTATATAGTCCAATGTCTTTAGTTACTAATCAGTCTCTTAAACCTTATGGATTTTCCTAATATATCGTAGATGGGATTCTTCGCTGAAGCTGGCCCTGTTCAGATTTTTGTGTCTAAGCATGTAAGCTTATGATCTTACATCATGAATTTGACCTCGAGTTCATATTGTTCTAGGTGTTTTGTACTCACTTTTACTCTCCTCTTCTTTTATCACCACAGTTGATTCCAGATGATATGGAGTTTCAAGCTGGAGACATGCCTAATTATACCACATCAGATGGATCAGTGTGTTTCTTTCTCTATTTCTTATTTCCAACAGTATTATCTGTGTTTCATCTATCTTCAAGAAACTCAATTTTTCCAATGCTTCTTGCAGGTTAAGATCCAGAAGGAATGTGAAGTGAGACTAAAGATTATTGGAACAAGAGTTGATGCCACTGAGATTGTATGCACAATCTCCATAACTCTCTAATTCACAATTCAACTTATAGTTAGATTTCTTGGTTTCTATGGTTAGCTTGAGCTGTTGTGTGCTTTTTGGCTTTATTCTAATCAATTTGCACATTTGTCTTTGATTTTGCAGTTTTGTGTGGGTACCATCAAAGACGATTTTTTGGGAGTCATAAACGATCCTGCAGCGGCATAAAAGTTTCAAGCAGATTTCGATTTTGGTCTTGTTTCTTTTACAGAGAATGTTGCCTTGTGATAAAGTTGTATTATAGTTGAAGTTTGGATCTGTTTTATCCGGAAAGATTGGAACCAAGCTTGTGGGGATTTAACTTAAATGCCAGTTTAGTGAACTTTGTATTTGTTCAAAAATGGTGTCATCACTGTTTCGGTTGAGAACAATATAGTACCAAGTGGTGGAACAAATTCTACATGTCTCAATGAAAATTGTATAATTTGAAATTGAATGGATGTTTCATTGATAGTTATATTATTTCATATATCATGGAATATATTGAAACTGTTGTTTATGTAAATATATAGTAGAGTCCTCCATTTTGGTTCTGTTTACCAAGTGTAGATTTGATTATGCTATGGAGAGTTGGTAAGACCTAATAGGATTTGGGAAAAATGTCATTAAAATCCCCAACTTATTCAAAACGTTGATTTAAATCTTCAACTCACGACGAAACGAAATAAATATCAAACTTATGTTGACTTTCCAAATAAATATTAAACTTATGTTGATTTTCCAAATAAACACCAAACTTTCATTGACTTGGCCATATTAGGCATGACGTTAAGTGAGTTAACAGACAATGTTAACAGGATTAATTTTCTGTTAACAGACCCGCTAATTAAAAATGACAGTATTGTTGAACTATAATCAAATCTCATCTAAGTCATATAACCTAAAGTCGTATTCATATAAGTTAGTTATTTACGTAAGAGTCACGAATGTACGTACGTATAGTTGTATCTGTTCGTAAAGTTGTGTCTTTTCGATTAACATCATTGTGTGTAATACATTTTATCTTATCAATAAAGATCAAGTTTCTTCATACTCTATTTTTCATTTTGGTTTTGTTCTTCATACTCTGTTAAAACAGAGTTCGTTTGTTGATCAAAACACTAACAAGTATTCCTTCTAAACATAAAACGACGTTGTTTTGTCGTAAATGTTCAATAAAATCCCGAGTTTCAAATCATACTCTATTTAGGGTTAGGGATTTTGCTTGATTTGGGGATCTAAGATTGACTTTAGGGATTTAATTCAATCGTTACGACAAAACGACGTCATTTTGTTGTTATATGAAACAATGTCGTTATCAATTAACATATATGTTAACAGAAAATTACCTCCGTTAACGAGATCTATTAACCCACTTAACGTCGTACCTAATATGGCCAGGTCAACGGAAGTTTGATATTTATTTGGAAAGTCAACATAAGTTTGATATTTATTTAGAAAGTCAACATAAGTTTGATATTTATTTCGTTTTGTCATGAGTTGAGGATTTATTAACCCACTTAACGTCATACCTAATATGGTCAGGTCAACGGAAGTTTGATATTTATTTGGAAAGTCAATGAAAGTTTGATGTTTATTTGGAAAGTCAACATAAGTTTAATATTTATTTGGAAAGTCAACATAAGTTTGATATTTATTTCGTTTCGTCATGAGTTGAGGATTTAAATCAACGTTTTGAATAAATTGGGGATTTTAACGACATTTTTCCCATTTGTTTTTTGGTAAGACCTCTTTGACTATTGAGTATTGAAGGTCATTCCTTCAATTTGTGTGGAATATTGACCCAAACCAAAAATTAGATTTTTTTAGCCAAATATAATAATTAAATTCATTGAAAGATTTCTCAATTTTAACACATTCAATGAATTTGAAAGTGCTTTTTCAAAATAAATTTTTATATAACACATTTCGTCCTCTCAATCACAATCCCAACTTTGCTCTCTCGTTTAGAGTTTCACA